TGTAAAAACGTTAATTTCTTGTTGAAATTAATTTTCATCAATAAAATTTTTGTCATTTATGTTATAAATCCGCATGCCATGCACCCACATGGAGCAAAAATTTTGTCAGTCAAAAATTTCATCAAAAAATGCCTAACAAATTTGATGAACTTCTTGACTAACAAAAATTTAGAGCTACATGTACATGTGTATGCAGTAACAAATAATAACTTGAAGTACATTGAAGCTGCCAAAAAATTTTGACAAAAATAAGCTCAAACTTTATATATGGCATAAGGTGACAAGAAGGGGGGACATGATGAAAATTAGCAGTAACATCACATATTTTAGGGATTTTATTTTGTGATATTGCACTAATCAAGTAGAAGTTAGTTTTGTCGGTGCAGGTGTAAGCTATTATACACATGATTGCTAGTTTATTTCAATTGTGTAATGAACAACAGTGAATTATAGCAAGTATGAACCCATTTATTAAATTTACACAAACTACCGTATAGCTTAAAACTTTTGACGATGAAAACTTTTGAAAGTTTTGCAATTTAGGCCTCCTCAAACGCAAAAGTTTTCATCACGAATATTCAAAGGATGTGGTCATATTATCTATGGCTTACTCTATGCTATAATATACATGTAGTTGCCTTAATTAAGTAAGCACATGTGTCTTAAAATGGCCTCTATTAGTTGTACCTCGAAGAAAGAAGACCAAACCCTCTTGCAGTCATGCTTTTCATTTGCCTGATGCTGTGGGAGCTCTCCCAATCTTCAAGTATAGAGCTGCTAGCCACACCCTCAATGCAATGGACCTGGGCCATTCACGAAAGTTTTATTCGCGAATTTCTGTCTTTTCATTCATTCACAAAAGTTTTTACCCTCAAAAGTTTTGAGCTATAGGGTATTTTAGGGGGGAACATAAGGGAGGACTTAGAGTGGAGGGGGATTTCTTCCTTTCCCACCTCCTGTACCCTGTATAATAAAACCCTGGCCACATTGACTTTAAAAAAGCCAAAACTTTTCTAAAAGTTTTCTACATACATGTACATGTACAACCCTATGCATGTACACTGTACAAAACATTGGAGTAATATCAGACAAATTAATGATTAATTACATGTAGATCCTTACCCAGTCAGTGCAGTCCTCAGGGTCAAAGGTCATGGCAGGTAGTCCTAAACGTGATGAGTCCTTTGCTAATCTATTGGAGAACTCTTCCCCAGTGCCAGTTTGAGACCCATACAGAATCAATACCCTTTTCTTTCGGGTTTTCATTTTATCAATAAAACTACCAGACGTACTCAGTGAGGAGGAATAAACAGGAGAAGAAATCTGTTTTATACTAATAGAGAAAAAGAGAAATCGGCAAACAATCATTAAAGACTTGATCCATTGAAAATTTTAAATTGTCTTTTAATTTTTGTGCTCACATTAAATTCATCAAATTCAAAAGCCAGACTCAAGGAACAAAAATTTTAAATCTCATAAGCATAATGCAGTATGTGTGAGATTGGCATTCCACAAATGACGATGTTTAAAGGCCAACGTCGTAGATCACATGAGCAGAATTATAAACTTATCATAATTAATATTAAAACTTTATCTCTAAAATATTGCTGTAATATTGAACAAATAGGGTCAAATACAACGTACAGCGTGTACATACCATAGGTCGGGATATATTCATGGCTGCAATTATTCGCGGTCATAAAAAAATTTCAATTAAAAACCATGGGAACTGAGGTGTTATTTTAATAAAAACAGCGCAATAGTGAAGAAAAGCACCTTGCTGCAGTGTTCTTGAGCTGTTGTTCTTCTTGTGTCAGTAAGCCTGGGGCTCTTTGGAGCTGCTTTACCGGTTATTTTCAGAACTAGTGCCTTGCTGTATTTTGGGATTCTCCACCCATTCTAGTTAGTGTTTATTGACT